AAGTATGTAGTTTGTATTGTAACTTTCGTGAGACATACTAAACAAATTATTATGTTTTCGGCTTACTCACGTAATTATTTGACGAGGAACTCGACTAGTTTCAAGCCATGCTAGAGGCTCATATTCATGAGCAGCATTTCGCGAGCCGCGACGCGGCGACTGTAGCGCTGCTACTCTACTACTACTGCTGCTAGCGGCCGCGTCGCGAGTCGAGTCGAGTTCCTCGTCAAACAGTTACGAGAGAAAGCCGAAAACATAATAATTAAATCTACAAAATTTAAAAAAGATGTATCAATGTCTTACCTTCCCCATAAACCCGGTGCCGCCAGTCACAAAAACTGACTTGTCTGCATAAAACTCCGCAACGGGCACATACTCCTTGCTCCCGGGCACATAATGCCCACCAGACAAACAGGACGCCATATTCGTAAACTTTCCTTTCACAATTCACACGCTCTAATGCTTGCTAAATACATCAAAACTTGTCTAGCCTCCCCCCAATTAACATGTACAGGTTTTCACTGGTCGCCAAGTTGTTATCCGGTGTTTATCAACAGGTCGTTACTTGTATCAACATGGTTGTTTGTTTACACCTGAAAAGAAAGAAAAATAACTTAGAATTTTATTGTAATCTTGACATAAAACATACAATTAAAACATTTATTTCAAATACACCAATGAGATAAAAGTATCTGTCTATCGTTCAGTCTCCTAGTGGCTCTATTTGCTCGTTCCAAAGTGTAGATTCTTATGTAGAAGAACGAGCCAGAAACTGTAAGTTTACATTTTGCAATCTGATTTATAAATCTTGGTATTTTATTGAACAAGTCCAAGCATGTGAAAAACCTTGAGAAATATGTCAGGATCGTAGTAAGTAGGTAGCATTCCATGGTTTCGGCTTGCCATGGGACAGAGGTGTACGTTAATGTATGTTAAACACTTCAGAATTAAAATTAGGGTAAACAGCAATCCTAAGACAGCAAATGTGCGTGTATGTGACATAGTATTTATAGTACTCATAGCATGTGCTTCTCTAATTCAGTAATTATGTAGGTACAACGTTGTTAGCAGTTAGTAATTAAATTTTTGTATACTTAGTTGAGTTTGTCTGAGGTTAAACAAGGCATTATTGCGTTTTCCTATTTGAAAATAGGTGCCACGCTATAGTCTTAACTACCTTAAACATAAAGTGCATTTTTCGCAACTCATCTTTGAAATAACAGAATCTAGTTAAACTTCCTAATGGCCAAGTAGAATAAATTCCACATATCTTCCCGCAGGTGTCCTTAGAGCAGACTAAAGAGCTATACATTTGACAGAGACCGGGCAGCAGCGCCCTCTGCTAAACCTCAACCTTTTAATTGCAACCCGTCTGAGAAGCAGGTCGATTATGACAAACCCTCTAATGAAGATCAGGCCAATAGTCCAATAGTGAGCGCATTACTATATTATCATCTATTTGTATATTAGTAGGAGCACAGCTGCAGGTAAAACTTAGTCTTGATAAAAGTCTAATCTAGGAAGTCTAAGTTTGAAACTTGACCTCAAAAATATGCAGCGATTAGTTATCAAAAATTCGATAGATATTATATTTATAAATAAAATATCCTTGTCACCCAAAGGCCGACTAGTTTGTTGAAACTCTATATATGATTACATAATTTATCATAACATAAAATAACATATTTTAACCCCCATAATGTTTATAATTTTACAAACATCAATTCTTTGACTAACCTAGGTATCGAAACAAAAGGTCTTGCTTGATAGTCATGTGACGTACGTGTGTACGACCTCTCTATTAATACAGGTACATAAATAGAAATAGGCAAAAATACGCCTAAATATAATTACAGAATAAAGAATATTCTTATCAATCTGTTTGTCATCGCAAAATGTCAAGGTAGATACAAGTTTAAGGTAAAACACAGTATTACACTAGGTCACATTAATATTCATCTAACGACTGCCAAATATGCAATTATATAATTTTTATAATACCTAGAATCTCTTCCGACATCACGGAATATTTATTAAGGACAACTGCATTTATGAATTTCATTGATGATCGGCTGATTCGTAGCCATACATTATTTTTTAACTACCTAGGTAGCGAGTTAATCACTTAATTCTGTCAGTTCATAACATCAAAAGATCAAACCCTTAGAATTAAATTATGTTTCAATCAGACCAAAAAAGGGTACTTTTGAGAAACAAGATTATACATAAAATATATCCTTTGGTTCACAATATAGCTAGCTGAAAAATAATGGAGAGTTTTTACTAAAAGCATAAGGATCGTCATAATTGTCATCATCAGCCCATTTCCGTCCGCTAGAGGACATGAGCCTCTACAATATTCGGCCACTGAGCTCGATCTTTAGCTCTTCGCATCCACACCGCGGATATCGTCACTCCACTTAGCCGGAGAGCGCCCTACACTACATCCGTGGAGGCGTGGTTTTCAACAAGGCTACAACTTTTAAAATGCTATTAGATTTTACTTAAACAATAGCCTACATGTTGCTCCTAATCATGATCTATCTGACTGCTAAAATTACATGAAAATCCGTTCACTAATTTCAAAGATGTGTATCAATAAATCAACAGACAGTAAAGCAGACAAATGAAATGGATATTATTATTGCAGAATAAAAATAAGCCAATGTGTTATTGCAGACTAAAATCTATCTTTGGGCAAAATTTCATTCATATCTATTCAGTACTTTTTGTGTATTAGAGTAACAATCATAGATACATACATTTCATCACAAACTTTCACATTTACAAATAATATTAGTTTCATTATTAATAATACCATTTCTAGTCATCCTATTTTTGTTTAACTGGTTTGAAGATACACATGTCAATTTGTGTCTAACCTATTGCACTTTTATGTTCAAATGTCACCGAAATACACTATTTTTGTAATCTATATGGCAAAGGACTTGCCGTAGCTTACGGGAGACCATGTATCTTCAAATGTATACCTATAAAAAGGCTATTTTTCGGCTACATTGGTCCAATCTCAATTCCTAACCTATGACCCTAAATTGTCAACATCAAATCAAGTCGAAATAACATCAACTATGAAAATAATTCTCCACATAAATACAGAAAAGAGTCTTACCAAAAAGTCGTACAAAAAAATTCACACTTTTCTCTCGAAACAAGTAAATGTCAACGCATAGATTTAAAGTATGCAACAGACAGACCACTTGTATTTCGCCTTTAAATACATTTTTAATAGACACAACCACGTCCTGATGTAAATAATACACTTTCATGTACAAGTTTATCAATATTTCACTTTTTATTTTATCGTTTTTCGTATAGACGTAATCTATGCCTTCATTTTGACGTTTGGTCTCCAGTCATTTTTTTATTTTTATTATCTTGCTTTTTGCCCGTTTACGAAATGAGGTTACAGTTTTATTTCAAAATTTTTATCAAATAGTTTTACCTGTATCGTTAGTCAAGTGGTTGTTAGTGCAACTGCTGAATAAGAGGTTCGATTTCTGGGTCGGGCAAAGATTTATTAAGGGTATTATAGCTTTTATAAAATTTCGCATATAAAAAAATGGACCCCGACATTAACACATGGGACTTATAAAAGTGGATGTTACTATTGTAGTATGCACATCTGTCTACCATTTCGGAGATGAAACGCGTGACGTTAGGTATATATGCATTAGGCACATACATATAGTAAACATATAGAACATCGTATCATATTATTTGATTACAAAAATGAGGTCGAAAGCAATGTTGCTATGTGGAGTCTGGTCATCAGAATTCCTAACCTATCACTCTGATAAGGAGTTATCAAATGATAGAATCACGCTATTAATTCCCTGAAGGTAGATATAGATAGAGCTGCACCTTATATTTGGCCTATATTTACATTATTTATTTATTATTGCCAGTTATGTTCATTTTTAGTAGGTTAACGGTACGAAACTGTCTGCCTCGTCGGTCAAATAACTTGTATCGTCGAGTTAGATTCTTCGGACGAGTAAAGACTTTTCGAAATGTTTTTTTTGAGCCGCGGAGAACGGAAAGGGTACCGGGGCTCCGGTTCGAAGAACAGAAGTAGGAACGGGGTGGTTTTTAGTCAGTAAGAGTCTGACACTCCCTCCCGCCTCACCCAGGCGGGAGAAGTCATTCGATGACCCCTTCATAGAACGAAATGGCATTGCGAACTTGGCTAAACAAATAAATTAATGACGACTTTGACCTTATATCTATAGGACCCATACATTATTATGTAGATACTCGCATTTATAACATAAACAAACAGAAATGTCACGAAGGTCAAATAACTAAAACCCATTTATTATACCATAAATAAATTTAAGATATATAGCGAATTCGCAAAATACATAACTTATTATACATTAAAAGAGATACACAGCGAATTATATATTTTAAACATATTTAAATTTGTAAATGATAATCTGACATTGACATAGTTTTGAAAATTAACATTTTATATACGTAACATAGTATATGTTATGTTAGTTTTGCATATACCGGATGTAATAATATTAATATTTGTATGTCTTTATCATATCTTAGGTCAGTCTCAAATAGACTAGCTATGCAAGTCGATGATTTTACCCACTTAAAAATCATCACGCCTTTTATCCCCGAAGATGTAGGCAGAGGTGCACATTACAACACTTAATGCCACTGCAGAATGTAACACCTACTATTCACTCTTTATGTTATGATTGATTCCAATGTAATAGGGGGTGAGCCTATTGCCATATACCGGGCACAATTCCAGACTTCGTGCTACTACTGATAATGTTTTTATAATAACTGTCGTACGAGATACTAAATTACTGTAACTCACGTGAATATACTGAGAAAAGCACTACTAGTTTTGAACCACATAGACCTTCTTCCTCATGAGCAGCGTGCGCGGTCGCGGCGATGTCGCGCAGCCTACTGAGGAACTCGCGATTTTAGTTAATTTAGTATATATACCTCACGATAGTTATTATAAAAACAAAAAAAGACGACAGTTTCCACTTCCTTCGGCGAAGACCAATGGAGTTTTAATCTTATATACTTTTATATACTTATATACTATATACTATTATATAAAGCAGAAGAGTTTGTTTGTTTGTTTGTTTGAACGCGCTAATCTCCCTAACTACAAGTCTGATTTGAATAATTCTTTTTGTGTTGGATAGTGCATTTATCAAGGTTGGCTATAGGCTATAAAACATCACGCTGCGACCAATAGGAGATGAGCAGAGTGTGTGAAACCGAGCGGAAGTAGCTAGTATTGGATAGATTTGAAGGTAGCGTCAAGAGTAAGAGCCCTGAACATTTTAAACTGCAATCTGTAACGCAGCAACCAGCCGAGTTTTAAGATTATGGCAAAATCCTCTTATGTAGAAGAGGAACATAGGAATGTACAGGAATGTACTATCATAGAATGTTGAATATCACTACATAGTATGAAATAAAGTCGCTATCCGCCGTCTGTCTGGCCCTATGTATGCTTAGATCTTTAAAACTACGCAACGGATTTTGATGCGGTTTTTTTTAAAGATAGTGGTTCTTAAGGAAGGTTGATTCG